GGAGAGTCGCAAGGAGAAGATGAACATCACATGGCTGAAAGTTGCAACTGCACTAGACCCAAGGTCAGATTGTCATGCTTTATTCTTTCTTATGCTCATTCTCAGCATTGCGTTTCAGTGTGTTTTTTTTTTTTGTTACATCACTTGTTTTCTTCCCTTTTTACTTTGTATTTGAATTTATATATGTATGAATCTTGTTTTGTTTATCTGCACCCGTACTTGTATTTAAGTTGGTTTTCATTTTGTTTCAAGGTTTAAGGACCTCAAGTGTCTGAGCAAACCTGACAGGGCTGAGGTGTGGGATATGGTCCACACCTTGCTTCAGGAGGTGCCCGCACAGCTAGATAAGCAAGTCACGCCTGAGCCTCCGACGAAGAAACCAACTCTTTTGCTTGCACTTGAGTCTTCTTGTGAAGAGGAGGAGGACAGTCTTGAGCAATGTCTGGAGCGCTCCAAGGCAGAGCATCTTGCTGGCATTGATGACTGTCCCCAAGAATGGCGGTCCACACATGAAGGAGCACACAGAGAAATGTCCCAGCTTGCACGCAAGTACTTGGCAACACCGGCTTCATCAGTACCTTCTGAGAGGTTGTTTTCAATATCTGGCCACATTGTACGGAAGAAGCGAGCTTCCCTTTCGTCTGTAAATGTCAACAGGCTTGTCTGTTTGAGTGACTGGCTCAAAGCAAAGAAGTATTAGGCTAGGCTTACATTTTATCGTTTACTGTTCTTCTCTTAATTTACTGTTACTTCTCTGTTTTGGGAGAGAAATAATAGACTAGGTTGATGAGCCTCTGCGAATAATGAGCAGGTAGCCTGACAGCTGTGTTCAAAGCAAACTGAGAAAACGCAAGTATTAAACCATGGTTCAACTGCACGATAGACTGAGTACTAATTTCTCTTAGATGTGCACTTTATAATTTTATATTGCTCCGTTTTGAGCTGTTGTGTGACAAAATGTTTGTTTCCACTGTTATTGATGACAGTTATATTGTGTGAGAGATTATGTGCTCCAAGTGTGAATAACTGCTCCAAATTTAAAATGTG